GACTTAACCATCACTCACGACTCTCGATCTCAGTCACGACCTACTTCCTCAACTTCGAAAAAAAACAGTTATCCAGACGAATTAATTGACCCTAACGAACTTACAGGAAGAACAGTATACGCCATAACGCAAAAAACAGGCCCATCTATCCATTACTTTGAGGCAGGAAAGTATAAATCATATACGCTCTTCCCCTTAGCGTCTGGGAAAAACACTAAAGGTGATTGGGTATGCGCTATGGGCAGGGGGGAGGGCATGTAGAGAGCAGAGAGGGGGGAGATACCAAGGCTGTTAAGTTTTAAGTGGTTTGAGGCAATGGTGATAATTGATGGAAGAAAAATATGAAAATGAAACGTGTTGTGTGAGGAATATCAGAGAGCCACACCCATGATGATATATCAACGATGGCGCAATTACTTCTCTCAAGAAGAAAAATAACAAAAAGACAATGGAGATGATAATATATGATTATAATGATAGTAGAAATATATAGTTATTTTCGGTATCATCACCAGTTTTATCATAATAATATTCACGATAATCATTATCAATTATCAGCGTTATTAAGGACGGATAGCATTATCACCATCGTCATCATCATCATCATCGTCATCGTCATCATCGTCATCGTCATCATCGTCATCATCATCCTTATCATGATCATCATTATTATCATTACAATAATAACAATAGTTACAATAAAAAAATGATGATAATAATAAAAATCTAAATAATAATGATAATGATAATAATAATTATTATAACAATAACAATAACAACATCCATAATATTAGTAGCAGTATTATTCCTGAAGTTGTGGTTGATATTTTTGTTGTGATTTCAAAATGTCTTTTATTTCCATTATCAATATTATATCATTATCAATATCATTATCACTGCACTTGTTAACGTCGTAGTGATTACCACTACTATATTAATACCGGTATCTAAAGCAAATTAACTTTCGAACCGGTTAAATGAAAGACGACTTTGCTCAGTGGAAGTCCCAGCGCCACGACCACGACTACGACAACTATGGCCACGGAAGCGTCCATAACCACAACCATATCTACGACCATGACTAGAGCTACGACCACTACGACCACACCGACGACCACGGAAGCTTAGCGAGGAAGCGAGCGAAGATTCCACCGAAGATTCACTTTAATGTTCGGACGAGCGCCCCCTCCCTCCCCCCAGGCCTCAGCGGGTCACGTGACCAGCCTTCCGAACGAGTGTGGCCGAGAGTGAGTCACTGCCCCTCCCCCCTCCCTCCTCCCCCTTCCCCCCATCTCCAGAGCTACTTAGGCGGTGGTACTCGAGTGGTACTTGGTAGGAGGTGGTACTTGAGCGATATCTTGGCGGTGGTGGCACTCGAAGGCAGGCCGGCTGGGGGTAATGCCACAAATACCCCCTCCCCCCTTCCTTCTCTCTTTTCTCCCTCTCCCTCTCTCTCTCTCTCTTCTCTCTCTCTCTCTTCTCTCTCTCTCTCTCCTCTCTCTCTCTCTCTCTCTATCTCTCTCTCTCTCTCTCTCTCTTCTCTCTCTCTCTCTCTCTCTCTCTATCTCCTCCCTCCCTCCTCCCCCTCTCTCTCTCTCTCTCCCTCCTCCCCCTCTCTCTCTCCCTCTCCCTCTCCCTTTCCCTCTCCCTCTCTCTCTCTCTCTCTCTCTCTCCCTCCCTCTCCCTCTCTCTTTCTCTCTCTCTCTCTCTCCCTCCCTCCCTCCTTCTCTCTCTCTCGCTCTCTCCCTCTCCCTCTCTCTCTCTCTCCCTCCTCCCCCTCTCTCTCTCCCTCTCCCTTTCCCTCTCTCTCTCTCTCTCCCTCTCTCTCTCTCTCTCGCTCTCTCCCTCTCCCTCTCCCTCTCCTCTCTCTCTCTCTCTCTCTCTCCCTCCCTCCCTCCCCCTCCCTCTCCCTCTCCTCTCTCCTCTCTCTCTCTCTCTCTCTCTCTCTCTCTCTCTCTCTCTCCCTCTCCCTCTCTCTCTCGCTCTCTCCCTCTCCCTCTCTCTCTCTTATTCCTCAATTAAATCAAACTACTAAATTCCCTCAACTGGCGACACAAAAGTCCAACCGCCCATTGCATCAGGATCTCTCCTTGCATCCCTCGTCCTCCGTTAACCCAAGGAGCGGTTTCGTCATCACAGCCTCCGTGATCTCTGAAGTTTTAAGAAAGTCACGTCCCTTAATATGTATTTTTTTTTCTTTTCTTTTTTGCCTAACATGTCATATCTCTCTCCCTCTAACTAGTTCGTCAGGCGCCGGGGTAGTATAAATATCCTTTCATGCACCTTGAGGGATTAATATCTTCGTCATCCCTTCCCGCTGCACCTTCCTTCCCTCGCTCCAGCTGGGTCTGGGAAGCACATGTCTGGCCGTGACCTTTCGATGGACGTACTTGTTCAGTCATCATTACTTTTTTTTTCGTTTTTATCTTTTTTTTCCCCGTCACGTATATCACAGTTTACCATCGCTTTCTCTTCTTTTCTTTTTCTTTTTTTGCCGCTTGAAGCACAGGTTATGGCTATCCTCTCCTCACTTTCGTCCCTCCCACCCCTCAAAAAAAAATCTTTCTTCTCATCACAACAATCCATTTATCAGCACTGGCATATTTAACGGCCATAAAATCTATCTTCACCGCCAACAACTTAACAAAAAAGGTACATCCCCCTGTCATGAACACCATTGACACTCAACCACCCTCGGCTTCCTCAAAAAATCTCCATCACTGGCGTCTCACCTGCTACTTGATGAAACGGGTTTTTGCCTGTGACTTCACTTATTCCCAAATAAAGCAACGGAACACCTCGACGAATTCGCCTCGTGGCGAGACCTGGCACTAATCAAAACATCTGGATCCAGTGCCCTCGAAAACACGTCTGGTTACGGGACGTATATACTCGCTTGTAGTTTGGCAGAAGTTCAACCGATTCTGAAACGATCTCCATTTCAAGCAAAGCGTAAGAAACTGCTTCGTCTCGTGTGAGAAAAGGAGGGGATTTCCAAGGCTAAGCATGCGGGTAACTGACCATCAAAGCACTGAACTCAATAAAGGAACGAAAATGCCGGGGTTCACTTCACTCGCTTGTCAAGACGGGCATCGGCGCTACAGAAATGCGCCTCCGTCTAGATCGAGGACCAGGATGTCGCCGCGACTCGGACGGGGGGTGCCTCTGTGCGTTTGCTTGTGTGCGAATGGGAATGGGAATGGCTACATATACACACGCACACGTGCGCGCGCGCACACACACACACACACACACACACATTAACACACAAAACGCTTAAAATACATTCCTGGGCCATGGTTTCTACTATAACGTAAAAAAATAATTTTAAAATCTGAATATATAATAGGTGTGGTGTTTGCGTGCGTGTATGCGCGTGCGTGTGTCTGCATGCGTGTGTACATATGTATCTGAACGTTTATTTTCAAGACACACTGAGGCACGTTCTCTCTTGCTTGCAAGTAGAACACCACGGCCAACAGCATTTTCTAACCCGGCTACATTAAAATTTCAACACGGTGGCTATAAACTGCCTTAATGAAAATAAACAAATGAATAAATAAATAAATAAATAATTAAAACTAAATAAAATCTTTTGAAATTCATAGGCCTATACCTCCACTTGTCTCCGAGCTGTAGGAGTGACAAACCTATAAATATTTAAATAAATTAGAAACAGTTATTAGGCATACATTAAAACGCCGCAGCAAGAACTCAGCGCAGACCTTAACAATTACTGAGGGTGAAATGCGTAGATTCACGGGCGATATACACTGTATTAGAGTTAAGAAAACTCAATATAACTTCCGCTTATAGACGAATTTCCCAGCGATCTTTAGGCCTATAGAGGTAAGACGCACTTACCTTGTTTACATTGTTTTTTCTCTATCATTACTGCTCATTACAATCATTACGTCATGGCATCTTCATTAACAAGAAAATAATCATGGCGATAGAAAGAAAAGCAGGAAAAAAACATTATGTACAAAATTAATTACTTTTTTTTGTGTGTAAATAGGATTATTTTGCTATCCTTTAGAGCTTTGTGACAATAATAATGGCAGTACTGCTACTATTGCTACTACTATAAGTACTAATAATGGCACTAGTACTACTACTACTCCTACTCCTAGTCCTACTGCTACTACTGCTACTACAACTACTACTACTACTAATAATAATAATAATAATAATAATAATAATGACTGTAGCATCGACAACAATGATGATGATAATGATGACAACAACAACAACAATAATAATAATAACAATAATAATCATAATCATTTAATAATAATAATAATAATAATAATAATAATAATAATAATAATCATAATAATAATAGCTATAACAATAACAAAACAACAACAACAATAATAATAATAGTATAATAATAGTAACATGTATTTTTGACGAAGATATAATCGAAACCGGTCAAATACATCTCTTGCACGAATATTGTGAAGATATTCATTTTCATTCATACCTTTTCTACATTTGTCAACATGAATACGGTTGGAAGACGATCACGTATATAAAGATAATATTGATTTCAACAACAATAAGAAGAGCATTACAGATGATGTTAACATTAAAGAAAAAAACTATGTACTGTTAATTAGACGTAAAAGAACACTATAAAATAATAATGATGATGGTATTTGTGACGGCAACGATAATGACAAGGACATTGATATTAATAATTGATAATATAATCATTACCATCATCTCGGTAACAGTACTGATAATAAAAGAAAGTTGGGCTGTAGCAATGTAATACAAAACTCGCCCATTATAAGTCCAGCCATATAATCATCATTCGGCTGCGTATAATTAATTCGTTATGCACTGCGCGCCCTTACAATGGGAATCGCATTTTGATCAGGCTGTTTGCAAATTGCGATCCGTGCTGCGCATGACCCCAGTTAACACATATTGCTAACCATTTAATATATTGCCACGTAACGAAACCAATCTTACTGATGAACTACGCCATTTAC